GCCGCAAAAATTTACCTCGGTTTGCGAACTCCGCCTCGGGGTACGAACAGGATACGTGGCCATTTTCCCTCCCGTGACACAGTCCGCGGCCATTTTTCCACCCCTGACATGTGGTCGTAGGGAGGGGGACTCTCCCTCCAAGCAATAGCCGCCTCCCTGTCCTCCACCCCAGAACGGTAATTACATTGAACCTTATGGGGAAATTTGCTTTGGGTTGCGACCAATTTGGGGTGCGACCAGAGTCACGGAACGAATTAAGTTTGTAAACTGAGGTTCCACTGTACATACATGATATCACAGTTTCTTGAGGAAACATCAATTCAGCTATTGTGATTTTATTCTGAATAATTTTTGAAGCAATATATAATATGATAAACATTTTTGTCATACTGTTTTGCTATTTGGGAAATTATAAGAAAATTACATGCATTGGAGATTGATATATATGCTACAATATATTTGCTTTATTAGACACAATTGGCACTCTGTCATTATGCTACTTCATATCAGGAAGAGAATTTTGCATCAGCAAAGGAGTTCCAACCTGAGCGCTGGCTAAGGAAAAACAATATGGATAGGGTAGATAATTTTGGATCCATCCCTTTTGGTTATGGTATTCGAAGTTGTATAGGAAAGCGAATTGCTGAATTGGAAATTCATCTTGCACTAATACAGGTAAACAGGTTATGCCTATAAAATCTCTTTTCTTGTTGAAAAAAATATTTATAAAACTTTATGGTAAAATAAAAAAAAATCCAATGAATAAGCAACCACTTTTTTTTAATCCTTTAACTGCCCTACCTTCCCTGACAAGTACCAGTCCAACCATTTGAATCAGAGAGGAAGATATTGGACTTTTAGGACCTTCTGCTCATCTTTTCCTCAGTAAAGCTAGAGGTGGAAGGGCTTGCAGATTGCTAGGGTGAACAGCCAATATCACTGCTAGTTCTCTTCTGGCTTCTTTCCTTCTATTCCTCAAGACTGAAGAGAATGAGTTCTCTCCCCCCCCCCCCTTTCTTTGCTGTTGTTGTCTAGAATAACCTAAGAACTATTAAGCACACATTCTCCTTGATACCTCTGAGTCAGCAAGATTAGGAGCCCTCACTTAGTGCTAAAGCCAGGAAAAAAATGTTCTCCACCTTGTCTTCTTCAAGGTTAGGCAGGCTTGGTGATTCAGAGGACAGCTATTTGAAGTTTTTTTTTTGATTTGGTTTCTTTTTACAGCCCAAACACTTTGCAGTAGGGTGGAAAAGAAAAACTCATTTTCCTTTGCTACCAACTTCAGAGAATAACCAGGCATTCCAGGTGCCCAAACTATAGATTTCTTAGAAAAAATTGTGCTTTTGTGAAGAAGCCCTTTTTGATTCTACTCTGTTAAATTTAAATGAGGATCTGGGGAAAGGAATCAAGTGCACCACAATTATTATTAGCAATAGGGTTAGGAACATTTAGCTGTAGAGGTTAAAGATGTTGCCACAGGTTAGAAAAGGAAGGAAGGGTCTCCCACATCCTGTACTCACTCTCTTCGTAAGAAGTAACTTGCATAAAACTACATAAAACAGAAGAGCCTGCAGGTCCTTTGGGTAAATCTAGCACAACAAAAGCTGTTTTCCTCTCTGAATCCTCCTACAGAAACTGCATCAATCCTGTCAGAATCATGCCAAAAGAATTTGAGTTTCTAAGCAACCTTTCACAGAGTGTCTGATTCTTCCCTATCTAAGAGTACGGGTAGCTCTTGCTATCCACAGTCTCATTATCCAAGGTTTTGCATATCCATGATAAAAAGAGACAAGACTTTGATATATGTGTAATTTATCTGCTACTTATCTGCAGTTTGGGCCTTTTTTTTTAAAAAACTATTTAATGCATATAGAAAATGGCAGATGGGCTTTTATGAACATAGAATCCAGACTGTTAAGGATTAGGGTTAGGCTATCTGTTCAGTGTACTGGTATTTGCTCCTCCTTGCTTGGTCATCAGGGTGAAAATGGCTTCCTTGCACCAGCTGGCCTTTTTTCTATTTGCAGTGACTTGCTTAGCTGGCGATGAAGGAAGTCACTTCACTCATACCACGTGGCTCATGCTAGCTTTCCACATGCATGTTTCATGTTATTTCACAATCTCAGTGGAGGGATCTCTCAATTACACTGTTGCATCCTGGGGCACCCTGCAGATTGGTTATGGCAATCTCTCCATCATGCCTCTGGATGCTCCCACTGCTTGCAAACTGCTCATGGCTCACTTCAATTGTCATGAGTAGTTTGTGTTAGCATTTGTGCTCAGCATCATGATCAAGAAATCCCTGCACTGAGACAGTGAAAGAAGCCAGCTTGAGCCACTATGGCACAAGTAGGGTGACTCCTTCAATTACCAGCAAATTAAGTCAGTCCATAGAAGAAGACAAGAGAGCCAGTTTGGTTAAGGCATCAAGACACTGAGTTCTAGTCCTGCCTTAGGTACAAAGCCAGCTGGCTGACCTTAGGCCAGTGATTGTCTCTCAGCCCAAGGAAGCAGGCTAGGGCAAATCACTTCCAAAAAACCTTGCCAAGAAAACTGCAGGGACTTGTCCAGGCAGTTACTAGGAGTCAAAAACTGACTCCAAGGAACAATATAGAACAAAAAGAGAAGAAGACAGCAAGCTGCTGTGGGCCCTTGAAACCAGACTGACCCAGTGAGATCTGCTTTGACCAAAAGAGAAGAAGGAAGAATAAATGTAGATACACTGCGCAGAGCACTTCTATGGGAGGAGAGGGAGATGATGACTATAGGCTTTAGAAAGTAACCTCCCAATTCCATTGGCAAGTTCTCATTCTTTGAGGTTTCATTATCTGTGATTTTATACTGGAATGAAACCCTGGAAATAAGGAGGGCCATATGTATACATCCAGGTAATCTTATGGGAATGGCAAAACTGATTTTTGAAGCCCAGTTCACAAGTCTTAGCTAATTTTCCAAATTGCCTTTCCTAATCTCATTCTTACCTTTCTGAGCTGAAGCTCTGTAGAATTTGTTGGGTTTTAGCACTTCCTTCCATTTTCAAAAAGCATCCTTCTTTAGTCTCAACCCCTTCACAATTTCCCTATTCAACCACATTGGGTCCTTTCGTTATCCCTTGGTCTTCTTCCTCATTGGAATTGTGCTATCCTTAATTTTCTTTTCAAGAAGTTCCAGATGGCCATAACACCTTTGCCTTTATGTTTTTCTTCCCATGGCAACTGTTCTCTTACTTTATTAAAATTGTCCCTTTTAAAATCTATGGTTTGTGTTTGACTGCTTTTTTTACTATGCTTTTTGTTAAAATCAAGAACTCTAATGACATGTAGTCACTTGCATCCAACATTCTCACTGCTTTAAGATCTACAATCACCTCCTCTCTGTTAGTAAGAACCAAATCCAAGATAGCAGATCCCCTAGTCTCAGACTTTTGAAAGAGAAAATTATTACCAACAAAAGTCAAGAATTTATCTGACATCTCGTGTTTGGCAGAATTAGTTTTAAAGCAGATGTCTGGATAGTTGAAATGTCCCATCACAAACACTTCATGGTTTTTTGAGGTGTTAATAAATCTTCATCTACCTCTTCTGATTGGTTTGGTGGTCTGAAGCAAACTCCTAGCAAGACATCCCTTCTGTTGCTCTTTTATCTTAACCAGATACTTTCACCACTCATGTTACTATCAATCCAGTGACCTTGAACAGGTAAGCTTGTTATGCAACACTACCCTACCTCTTTCTTGTATTGTCTGTTCCTCTGAAACAAGGTATAGTTATCAAGCCCAGTGTTGCACTGGTAGGATTCATTCCACTATGTTTCTGTAACCCCATTTATATCATACTTGCCTTTGTGCATCAAGACATCCAGCTCCTCTTGCTTGACACACATACTTGTGCATTAAATGAGTAGAGGCGTTTAATGTAATGGGTTATAATCCTCATGTTTAGTCTCCTCTTTTCTTTCTTTCTTTGTTAAACTAATAATTGCCAGAAAAGTTTGCTTTGCTGCTGTATTCAATCCATTACTTGCCTCAGTATATTCAACACAGCCTATTTCTAAGTCACTGTCCATAAGATTTTAATCTTATAGTAAATTTAAACAGGCTTATGCAGAAGTAAATCTTACTGAATTAATCTGAGTTGATTCTTTTAGCAGGCCAACTTCTAAATGGCTATTAAAAAGGGCCAGAAAATTTATGGAGGACTGGTTTTCATGGGTGTTCTCCAGTTTTCAGAGATCAGGAAGGAAAAATGTTTGCTTCACGTTGAGGCAGTTTGGTCTGAGCTGAAACAAAGGGCCCATGACATTGATATCCAGTATGGCTTAAGTAAAACCCTAGTCCTGCATGGAGCAGGCCTATTCGGGACACCATTCTCCCATGTTAGGTATCTAGCAAACATTTCTTTCCTATCCTATAGAATAGGTTTTATTCTCACCCACTGTAATGTATTATTGCTAGAAAGACGATTCAATAACATCCCTGCTCAAGGGAGACTTTGCCCCTGCTCACTGGAGGAAATAGCAGTAGTTCCTCATGTGCTTTGCATTGTCCCTTCTAAATGGCACTGTAAATCTAATAATAACTTTTAAAACCCCTTCTCATCCTCCTCTTAGATCACAGGCCATCAGATAGCTCTAGAAGAGTCACTACATTTTTTTCAGTCGCCCTCACTCTCAGATAGTTAACTGCAGTTTTGTGTTTTTGATAGTTTTCTATATACATTTCTGTCTATAGTTTTTGGTTTTCTACAATAGGTTTCTTTTTTCTTTCCTTTTTGTTTCTCTGGCATATTTGTTTTGATCTTTGACTGTAAAATTAAATAAATACAATAAATGTTTAGAACATTTTATAAGGTATAGGCTTCTAGAACTATTACTGTTATTGCTGTCTTTCTGATATTTCATTTTTATTAATCCTGATATTATTCCTTTTTTCCTATTAGCTACTTCAACATTTTGAAATAAAAAAATCTCCAAAAACTAAATCAGTTTTTGCCAAAACTCATGGACTACTGACGCCTGCAGATGCCATCAGTGTGAAATTTGCTGACAGGAAATGAGAGCAGAAACGTTAAGAAGTTCCCCAGCCTCAGCTCTGATGCAAAGGTGTTGAAGATTTTTTTAGCCATTATGGGATTTCCCTTCTAAGCTTTAGATGCCTTCACAGAAGTATATCTATTTCCTGAAAAGTATTATACATAATATAAAATGTATGTAAGTATCAAAATATATCCTTTTATATGCTTATAATTATGTTTATCTCTGAGAGATACAGTAAAGTCAACTAATGCATCAGTTCAACATCCAGCACTTGGGCTGCATGCTTCAAAAATTATTTGGAAGAAGTGTTTTGGACCTCCCATGAGCACCTCTTCGTTATTTATTAAAGCTTGAAAAAGGAGGGCCTGCTTTAATGAACAGAAGAGAGGTGCTGTGTTGAAACTCACGTGGGGCCAATGTATTTCGGAACTGTTTGTAAAGAGCATAGCCCTGTTAGAATCCTGAAGTAGTTTTCATTGTATTGCTTTTCTAGGAAACTCTTTACAAGAACCAACACATTTATTTTAGTAGCCTCAAGTATATTTAAATTGATAAATTACTGATCACTATCTCCTCTCCCCAATTTAAAAATCCCTCTGTTAAGCAACTGCCTAAAATAAGAGTTAATGATCTATACATGAGATAAATGGTAATAAATTTACATTTCAGAATAGCTAGTTACCACATGTCTCAATGCAAAATCTCTGAAAGATGAACATTCCTTTATGTAATGGAGTGTATGTACCATTTTGTTTCCTTTCTTCAGTTTTGTTTCAGGAATTCTTGCTTTGACTGTGCTTTCTTTCCAAGTAATGTGATATATTGGCTATAATGGATTAGAAATTAGGGAAAGGGTTTAAAATATAAAGACATTTTAAAGAAAATTCTGAAATCTACAGCTTGTGCCTATTCAGAAGTCCATTCTTTATTCCCTGAATGAAGCTTTTGAAGTAACATAAAGAAATATACAATTTTGTTACAATTAAGTTAGTCAGCAATACAAATGGTAAAATAATCAATTTTTATATTTGTCCATTTTATTGACTGAAAATACAAACGTCTTTTTGAAATTTACTTTTCTTTTTAAATAAAAAATGACTTTAGTATCCTGGCATTCTTTTTATTGCTTGCTTTTACACATTGTTTTTTGTGGGGGCTACTGCCCTCTCTAGGATAGACAGATAATGGCATAGTATTTGTATATTCAAAAGACAGACACTTTGTAGTTGTTTGCACAATTTATATAGCTAATTATTACCTGAGAGGTTTGTGTTTGAGTGATTTTATTATTATTGGATGGACCGCAGTAACATGACATTTACGTGGGAAGTTTTATTAAGTTAAACATCTTGTACTAAACCATTTTATGTCTTTTAACAACCCATTTTGCCACCAGAATGGAGCGTACGTATTTAATGTCACATTGATTATAGGCATAATAGATAAAAGTTATTTACTTCAAAATATTTACATTAGTAATTTTGGAAGCATTTGATGCTGTTTCATCTGTTATCATTAATCTCAGTTTTGCACTTGTTTTCCAAATTTATGAGAATATGTCCAGTCTTCTCTCTATATCACTGGGTCATCTCCAGAAAGAAGAATGCAACAGAGAATCCAGACTTACTTAGCTTCACTATGTAAACTTGCTTTCAACAGATTCTTTGTTAAGGAGGAATCAAAGAGCAAGTAAGTTCTGATTCTCAGCTTGGATACCTTATGGACTTGCATTTTAGGCTGCTGCATTAGCTTTTTAAAATTATAATATTTACTGGTAATTATTTTGTAAGTTAATTCATATTATATAAGAGACTCAGGAGGGCGTATGTTAACAATACAATAAAAATAATAATTATGATAACATCCTATGTGTCTCTTAAATATTATTACTAGAAAAAAACAGGACTGAGCAGTTGTTATATAAGGGCCATCAAACTGAAGAGGAAAAGGTGCTAATTTTGTCTAAGGGTCCATAAAATATGTGTGAATGCACTAGACTGATATAACTCCTTTCTGTTTCAAGTGATATATTTCCATTTTGTTTCCTTGATCATTTCATTTATTCAGCATTGTACTTCAATGAACTGATTGATCAGCAGCATTTTATAACAGAGTGTTGTATTAATCCATACTCAGACATGGAATGTGGCTCAGTCAATCACTTATTCTCCACCCAACTTACATTATAGGATTGTTGTTCCAGTGATACAAATTGAGGAGGATTATAGACTCCACCTTCTGTTCTTGGAGAAAAGGTGGGATATTTTAACAATAACAACTACTAGAACAGGTGAACTTTATTAGAGCATTTGAAGATATATGTTGATCGATCTTCTAAATAATCTCTTCTTTACTCTGCCTTGAAAGAGGAAAGAATCAGAAATAAAATCCAGTTGTTTAAAGAAGAATATATTGTGGGGGGGAAATCCTGCTCTACATACCAGTCAAAACAAGTCGCTTTCTTAATGGAACTTTATCAGTTCAGGAGCAGCTTCATAGCTGCCCAATCTCATGATACTGTGTCAAGGAGCCAAATGATTTGTTAATGTTTCAGCTGTGATGTATCCAAAACTGAAACAAAGCTGGTCTATTCACTTGAAAGGTTAGAGCTCTGCAGAACCTATGAGTGGTCTATTCTCCCTTTGGTGGGAACTCCATCTTCACCATCCAACTCCTATTTCTTTTGCCCAAGAGACTCAATTTTCATAGGAGTGTTCTCTGCCTTTTGAGTTTTTCAGAAATGGAGACAATTGTCAGTCTAGTTCAAGTTTGTTTTGAAGATTTGGGGAATGAAAATGATGGGTGAATGTAGGCATGCCCGCAAACTCTCAATGTACTAAGCATTTCAGTTGACCCACATTCCTTTTCTAATTTATATCTTTTTCATCATGCTTCTTCTGAAGAGTTTTCATCATGCACTTCTGAAGAGTTAAAGGTTTTCTTATTTTCAGCTGGCAGTGTCATAATACCTTCAGGCAATAATTAAATATTCCTACTATTTACCAAAGCATTATCAATCAACAAGAAAAAGAGCCACCTGCCGCAATGCCTGATATGTGAAATGAGTAAATCAGTACATGGGTAGCAGAGCAGTGGGAAAAGGATCTGGTCATCAACTCACTAATATAATATCTATTGACCAAGAAAGTGATACAGATTTTCAATCACCGTCTTTAAAACGCTCACAGATAATATTCATTTCTGCAGTTCGTAGTAGAATTGGAAATGTGGCAAAAAAATCCATTGTGATGAATACATGTCAGTTCTGGGCTGCAAAAATCCAGAAAACCAGTAGATAGCAAAGAAATACAGAAAACTCTATTGGACATCCGGATTTTAGTAGTTCAGATCTGGGATGTCTACAGCTTTGTATCATTTCTGGAAACACTGCTTTTGCCTTGTATTTTGTACCTAATCAAGTACGTATCCATGTGAGTTTCTTTGCATCTGACTTCTTTTACTTTTTTGCTGCACAGCTGTTACTCTGGTTGTAAAGATTAATGAGAAACCTGTTTTGTTTTTTTTTGTATACATTAAATGTTCATTTACAAAACAAGAAAAATGGTAAATGGGTCTGTTCTTGAGGGAGACTCCAATACTATAATGGTAAATGTAAACACATATTCACATTAAGTGAAACAAAATACTGTAACACATCAGCTGCCTAAATTAAATTCTTGAAGAGGTTCTTTTAAACAGATATCCAAAATGCCACCAGGTGGGGCTGTTGTTGAAACTGCTTATTCATCTTGATTCCTAAATTTATTTTGTGCTCAAAGTGGTCTTTCTCTGGGTGTATGCATGTATATGATTTTCTGACTCATTCATATAATCTTGTTAAGATGCTGGCCAGTCTCCTGGTGCTAGAAACCAGGAGACTGTGAGTTCTAGTCCTTAGGCATGAAATCTGGTTGGATGATTTGGGGTCAGTTACTTTCTCTCAGCCCAACCCACCTCATAGGGTGGTTGTTGTTGGGAAAATAGGAGGCAGGAACATTATGTATACCTCCTTGAGTTGTACAAAATAAAGGTGAGATATAAATCTAATAAATTCAAACTAAATGGAAATAATTCTAAAGTGGATGGATAACAAAGAAGAAAAAGAAAAAGCGGACACTAATTTTTAAGGCAGTTTCCAGAAAGATGTTGCTTATAATAATCAGTTGAGATAGATGGATAGATGGTAGTTCAAGGAGAAAAAGAGACCAATGAATCTTAGCAGAGCAGTTGGAACCAATTCTTCTCTCTTTTGTAATTGGATGGGATAGCAGAAAACTTTATTTCAGAGAAAACAGTTTGATCAACTTTAATTGGAAAGAAAATTTATCAAGATGTCCTTTTTTCACAGAAATTTAAATATATATGGTTTCTCATGTATTCTAAAGCTATGCAGAAAATTAACATTAAAAAATCAGTTTCTATTGCCTCTGAACCATTTGTGTTATGAAGCTCAATATTTTTTCTATACTAAAAAGTTGCACATTCTTTTCCATGTTAAAGATCTGCCAAAGTGATTTTTCCTTCTCTTGAAAGAAAAAGAAATTTCAACTTTAAAAAAATGTTTCAGTTGACTTTTTTGCTTATCCTTTCCAGCTCAATGAGAACTCTTTTTTTTTTTTTTTTAGTGGAATAAATAGTTAACCAAATGTCTTAATATACCTGATTATTTGCTAAATGATCAAATATGATGCTGTTTCTAGAGCTGACTGAAAGGGCTGATTCAGTGGCTTTTCATGACAGAAAGATTATTTTTTAATGAATAAAGAGTCCCCTATCACACATGTTTGGTAGAAGCTAAAAATGGTTTAGGAAATGCAGTGCAGTTAATGAAAGAGAAGTAAGAAAGCCAGCCTGATGTTCCATAAGTATATCATTGCCTTTAGGTAAATATAATAGTTTGTTAATATGCCTTTCTTCTTCCTGTATGTTCACAAATATTTGTAAAAATATTGTTACATCTCTAGTGATAATTTATCCAAATGGAAACTAAACTCTTCTACCCTGCTTCTGGACCTTCTGA